TTTATATTGTATATGTATTGTTCAAAAAATAGGGATCAAAAAATCGTATATAACATTTTTGTCGTTTTCAAAAAGAAAAGGTTATCTGCTTCAGAATGTATAAGAATTTTTATTCGATCTGCATACAATAATCGTTTCATATTGCCAATGACGCACCAGTCTGGTATCCGAGGTCTGTATTTTTTTTTTTTTGTGCCAAGTCATTTATCGGACTAACTTTTTGTTCTCTATTTAGTGTCAAAGGAATTAGCCGATTTATTTACTAATTCAGTTACGAGCGGGAATGAGAGAATTATACGCGTCTCCATTATTAATGGTAATTTATAGGCTTGTTGAATTAAAAATACCTACCATTTCAACAAGAATTCTCATTCAAAAATATATTATTTTTATTAGAGTCACTCGTTCCAAATGGGACCCTAAACGTGAAGGGTTCATGGGAATCTGGTAAGAGTTATTATTAGTTTGGTTTTGCACAGATTTCATTTTCTCTAATCATCTATGCGCAACCTAGACTTCGAAGAAGTAATTAAATTTTTGGATGAAAAAATACCATGTTACATCCTCTATCGACTTGATACCAAGTCATCATCATTAGGAGATCATGAATGGGTGTTTCTAGCATACGTTCCAGATGGAGCGAAGGTAAATGATCATTATTAACTTTATCACATTATATATATATATAATAAATATTTTATTTAGGTTAGGGACAAAATGCTTTATGCATCAACGCGTGCTACACTGGTTAAAGATCTTGGAGATTATCGGTTTGTGGACTCCATGTATGGTAATAAAATAGTGAGTTTAATTCATAAATAACAATTAATTTTTATCGTCATCCATTATCATGGGTTATTGTTTACCAATATAATTATTTTAGGAAGACTTTACATTAGAAGGCTATCAGAAACACAAGCAGCATCAACAGGCTGAAGCTCCACTTACTCAACGCGAAAAAGAATTGGCCGAAGTCAGAACTGCTGAAGTATTAAATAATTTATATTTGCATTTTATGACGTCAAATATTGAATCAATTGGATTAATTATCTATCTTCCACCGCCAGGCAAACGCAAACTCGTATAGTTCCTCTGCACGTAAATCTCACGCTGCTGGCGTTTCTTTTCCTCTGTCTGATGAAGCCATTGACGCTATAAAATCGTTGGGGCAGTCTGAAAAATCAAATAATATTGTGCAACTGGTAGGCCGCTTAATTTTCTTGTTTTATACTCGAAGGTCAATTAAAATAATATAATACGTCGTTCGTTCTTACAACTAGTCTTTAGACATCGCTAATGAAAGAATTGATCTGGATTCAGCAAACAAAATTGAGATTGATGATCTTGCAAATTCTTTACCTTCTGATGCACCACGGTTTTCTTTCCTTGCATATGATCACGATTACAAAGGAAAAGATTTCAAATCTATAAGTAATTAAAATTTTAATATCCAAATTTTCTTATTTTATTTCATGCTAAAATTTTCTACTTTAAAGTTTTCATATATACATGTCCGTCGTCCTCTAAAATTAAAGAACGTATGCTGTATTCATCTTGTCGTGGGTCAGTAATTTCATTTTGCGAAAACGAAATTGGACTTACAATCACTAAGAAGGTACTGTATGTTCAATACAATTTAAATGACTTTGATACATTCGTGTGTTTGACTAAATATCCGATTATTAGATGGAAACAAACGATCCGAGTGATCTTACCAAATCATATATTTTAGAAGAGTTGCACCCAGTATCAGACGCGCCTGTGCAAGCTTTTTCACGACCAAAGCCGCCTGGAAGAAGCAGGGCAAGTGTAAAAAATAACTAAATTACGCTTTGCATATAATATCCAAATGTAGGCTATCTCAATTATGAAAGGGAAATCTTGAAATCCGAATTATATACTATATTTTTTTAATTTCAAATAACATTTACAATGAATTACTAGAAATTATTATTATTTTATAGGTGATTATGGAGAAATATAATTTTATTTATATTTATATGAATATTACAGAAAGAATTGAAAATTTTTTATAATTTATGACAAATGATAATTTTTTCTTTTTTTTTTTTGTAAATAATTATTGTTTTATTGATTATAAAATTTTTTTTATACATAATGAAAATTAATATTTTTTTAAGAAATTAATGGCTTGTTAAATTTCAAAAAGAACAATCAAATATTTAAATTTTATATTAAATTTAAATATAAAACTGATATTAAAATATATTTATATTTATAACAAATAAGTAAGGATTCTAATGATTTGATTTGATTCAATTCTCAATTCTCAGATTTATATTAAGTTTAATATGTGGGTTATAATCCATTATCATTTTTAATAGTATTTCAAACATTATATGAGTTTATATGAGTCTGTTTGATTTCAATTTTTCAAACCATACAAATAATTAAAACCTATAAATCAATAGTACAATAGTTAATGCTTTTAGGTTTGTATCACTAGATATTAAGTTCAATTTTAGATAAAAACAATTAAATTAACTTAAAATAATATCTAATATTATAAACTGTTACAATATTGTTTTTTATATTGATTTAATAAGTATTAAAATTGTAATATTTTTAAAAATAATATAGTATTTACTTTAGTTAAATAGTTTTATAATTATTTTTTTGTAATATCTGATATTTCTTTTTGCAAGTTATTAAAAAGATTTTATTTTAATTTAGTAATATATTATTTTAACAATTACTTATTTTGAAAAAACAATTAAAACAATAAATAAATATTAATAATTGAAATAATTTATAATTAATAGATTTATAAAATAAATTTCTTAAATATTTTAAATAACTTTAGAAAAAATAGAAATTAAATAATATATTTAGTTACAGATAAGAATTTTAAAAAAAATTTTTATAGTATTTTATTTATTAAATATAGATACTATTTTTAATTTTTTTTATTTAATTTTTTATTTAATTTTTTTAATTAAAAATAAAATTAAAACAGATATAATAACAATATTAATATGCTACTCTATAGCTAATATCTTATTTTTTATAAAAATTAAGTAGAACTATATCAAATCTTTCAATCTGTTTAATTCCTCAAATTAAAAAACAATAGTATTTCACAAGTCAAACCTATGGTTCCGAAAATTGAAATTCAACAGAATCAAACAGAATCGCATGAGATTCAGAACACTATTAAAAATGATAGTAGGGTATACCCCACCTATTAAATTTAATATAAACTTGAAAATTAAATACAGAATCAAAGAGAATCGTTAGGATCCTTAGTCAAACCTATATCTACTATTAATATACAAGAAAATAGTATTATTAATCTACTTTTTATTATTATTAACTTATTTATAAATATATTTATAGTTTAATATCTTTATCTTTTAATTTTATTTTTTTTAATATTGAGTAAATATTTATGACTGCTTAGTACCATCTAACAAAATATATTGTTTTAAATTTTTTTTTTCAATATTAGTCATATAGTTACTATAGACAAACTAGTATTTAATTTATTGTATTAATATATAAAAAATATTGTTTTTTTTATGATAAATATTTTGTTATATACAAATTAAATAAAGAAATAATAATTATTTACAAATAATAATAATATAAATAAATAAATAAATAACAATATTAATAATATTTTAATATATTAATTTTTTTTTTTTCTATAATTAAACAAATATTTATTGTATTTATTTAATATTGTAAATAATAGTATAATAGTACAAAGATTTTTATATATAAACTAAGCTAATACTTGAATATCTGTCACTAATTAAACAATCTCTAAATATGATCTTGGAGATAAATAAAGTTGCTCCCTTATTGTTACTATTCCTTAAAAGCTTTAAGTTCATTGTCTGCAATTTATTATTACAGTTCACTTTGGCAAGATTTTGATTATTTTATATTCCTAACCATTTGGTTTTCTTTTTAATTTTGTTTTATAACACTTTTGTGAGCTTCTTCTTGATGTCCTTATTTTGATTCGATTATTTGGATATTATATCTTTTCTCTTTTTCATTTGTAAACTTTTGAAATTACTTGCTTTTTGACTTCTTTTTTTTTTGATTCTGTTTTTACTTCTAAATACCTAATCTATCTTTTTTTTTTTCTTTTGTGATATAACTCTGCTATTTAATTCAAGATTAGAGTCTCTCTTTTTTTTTTTTTTTTTATTGTTAGGTTTTTTATGTTTATGAATTCTTTCACATCTTGTGTTTCATATTTGTTGATAAAATTGTTTGATCTAAAATTTTCTATGCTAATATTTTGTATATTTTGATTGTTTGAAGGATGTTAGTTCATTTTAAAATGTCATTTTTTGTTCAAAGTCTTATACTAATATTGATAGTTTCTTTTGTTGAAGATAACTTGTTTTTCCTCTACTTCTCTATTACTGCTTCAATTGGAACTGAATTTCATTTTTCTTTTTCTTTATCTTTTATAGTATACCTTGAAATCTATAATATAAGAAGTTTATTAAAAATACTATTTCATATTTGATTCCTTTCCTTTTGAAGTTTTTTGCAGGTTAACAGGTGATCTAATGTTTTATTTTGCTCTTAACAAAAGACACATTTGATACTTGCTAGTAATTCTTAAGCTTTGCGTTATATCAAGTTGTTTATTGTTAGTAGTTTATTATATATAAATTTGGTCTTAAATGTTTTAAGTTTTATTTGTTTGAAAAATGTGATTAGCAATTTCTTGTTAATGTTGTGCTATCAAAAACCTCTCTAGTCAATAATATCACAATTATCTATTTCTTTTTTTCATTTTTACTGTATTTTGTTAAGTGATGTTCATTATATTAGAATTCTTCTTTTGTTATAATCCTTAATGAATACTCTTGTTGAGATATTAATTGGAATATTATTTCATACAGATACTATAATTGGGGTTATTACTGATAGTGCTTTCTATTTAACTTTTGTTTCTTCTTTTGCGGCCTTGACTAGTTGGTCAACTTGATTATTTAGTATATCTTTGCTATATGCCTTGACTTTGATGAGTTTCAATTAAAATATTTTTTTCATAATTGTATTCACCAGTCTTAATTATATTTGCCAATTAAGTATTTTTATTTGTCTTTTTAATGTTTTCTTGAGATGCTGCTTGCTTATTTTTGCATAAGTATTAATATAACTGGTACTATCAATTCTGATTTCTATATTACTATCATTTGGAGACCTATCTGATCATAGCCCAGTGGGCTAAGGCAGGATAGGGCTAACCTATGAACCACGGTTCAACCCCAGCTGGAGGCAATTCGCATATCCCAAATTGGGACTTTGTGTCACTGCCCCTGTAACTCGTGATAGAGAGCTATTTTGGTTGCTCCAATAATCAAGGAGTCATATGAATAGACTACACTCCATAGGTCGAAAAGATAAATGATTTGATTGGTAAACTTTCTTATCAAGTATTGCCTGGAAAATACCTCCAAAAGGGGGAAGAAGTTTCATGGGATCTTTCCGGTAGCAGAAAGAAAAGTACAGACAGCTAAAACCATTAGTCACACAACTATCAGTAAGAGTTTTACATGTCCATTGATAGTGAGGATCCAGTTGGAATTGCAGGAGGTTGCTTGTATCATGGGATGTTCTATCCTAAGGGATACACTTGCAACGGTTGATTGCATGCCTCCATAAATTGTAACTCCTCGCATGTGTTGCTAGATCAGATTAGGCAGGATAAGGCTGGGTCCAATTTTCAGGTGAATTTGATGTACTGGTGTACCCTCATCCTCCAATAATATCTCACTGACTAAATCCTAGTAAGTCTTGACTAAACTGAATGGTTGAAAAACTGTAGTGGTGGCTGCAGGCAATGATTATTCTGGCATGATAGCAAAGGTCTGCTTGCCTTGAAATAGCAACCTTCTACCCCCACTGTCTATACTTAGAGGCTTAGGCCTAAAACAAGTAATTAGGACCATCATCATCACCCCCTGTACCCCGAAGAAACACTGGGAGACTAAAAAGGTAATAAAAAGTATCTGAGTTGATGGCAAGGATTAAAAAAAATATATATTACTATTATTTGGAACTTATAGTATTGCTAAGAGAATTGCTATCAATTTAGTTCTTGTAAATGATAGCCAATTGTTAACTGCTACTTGAAATAATCTTCCTGAATTTGATCCTTCTGTTTGTAACCAGACTACTTCCATTCTTATAGATTAATCCAATATTTTACTTATGGTGCCATCTGTATAAAATTGATAGTTGCCTTTGTAATTACTATTGTTATTAAGTCTATATTCAAAACTTAATCCTGTATAATGTTCTTTAGACATAATGTTGTTTTGAATAATTTGTAATTTATAGTCTTCTATCTTTACATATTGTAGTTTTGATGCTTTGATACTAGTTTGAAGTTGTTCTAACTGGATCTTGATTTGGTTTTCCAATATATAAATTTCCATTGGTATCAATGGTTTCTTGCCTCTTCTATATTTGACAATGTTGTTTATTCAGTTGAAGAAAAGTAATGGATTTTTACTGATGTTTTCTTAATTGTTTTTTATTTTTATGAACTTGGTTATATTGAAACTAGCTTCTGTACTGATTTAAAAGTACTCTATTCTCTAATTGTTAGCTTTTTGGGTATTTTTACTTCTGAACCAGATAAGATTGTGTTTTGTACTGCTATCAGTACTTACTTGTCAGTTCCATTTTCTATAGTTGCTTTGTTTATTCAGTGTAAAGAGCATTCTGTTTTGTATTGTTAATCAAAATTTAATTATCTTGATTTGAAAACACCAAATTCATTTGTCAGTATTTGCTTAATCATTTGGTATTATCTTGGAATAGGTCCT